ATACAGCTTTATATTTTGAAAATTGGAATTTAAATTTTATTTAAAATGTATAATACCCGCCACTTAAAAACTACTTATAGACCTTTATGCAGAAAACTACTAAGCATTTAGGCCTGATGCAGCACAGAACTTCATTGAAGTATATGCTTAATTTTAAGCACAGGAATGGACCTTGCAACCTCAATGGGACAACTTACATAATTCTTAAGTAAATGCTTAGTTTTCTGAGGCACAATGCTGGCACCATGCAATATGGAAACCTGTTGGGTTCAATTTGTAATATGTGTAACTAGTTTAGAGAAAAATAAAGCCAATAATAAACCCTTTTAAGCATTACACTAAATCATCACTGGTGCTTTTCTACATTCTTACCAAACCCAGGACTCCGTTTTCACTCTGCAGGTGAACAGTTATATCTGGACTGATGAAGTTGCTGGCCAACAAAGGAATTCCTATGCCCAGATTAGCTGAAGTGAGTTGGTTAAGTACAATGAGAAATAGAATTACTGTAAAGTAATACATTAACAGAATTACATTTGTGTTTCCCTCTACAAACTGTTTTGTTTTTCAAACGCATGCTTCAAAACTTGACTAAATGACTATAATTTGGACTGCCTAACTGCCTTCTGTCAGGTGCCATACAACACTTGAAGGCAGTTCAAATTATAAAGACATTCAGTGAACTTTTGAGTCCAATTTGTAATATATGTAACCATCTTAGAGAAAAATAAAGCCAATAATAAACTCTTTTAAGCATTACAGTTAATCATCACTCACTCAAGCAAGTTCCATTTCAAACATATGGATCTTAACTTTTTTGAGAAACACTGATTAATTATTTGACTTCTCATTATTAAGCTAGGTAAAGGAGGGAAAAGACACCAGGTATCACAGAACTTAATATTATGTTTATTTCAACAGGCTGTTAATAAAAGTGACAGAACCACAGGTGTTGCAGAGGACAAACAATGGAGGTGGCAATTAATTTTTGCTAAGAGTAACAGATGCGACTGCCATTTCATCATAGAAAATGCTAGTTCTTTAACCTAAAGCACAGTTGAAGGATACCATACATGCCATCCTCAAACTCTAAGGCTGCTCGCCTGATGATCCTCTCTCTCACGTTATCTCCTCCCTTCTTTTGTTTGCTCTTTGTATCTTCAGGCTTTCGGGTTGATAATCTCTACAAAATAAGAAATTATCATTAGAAAGCTATGGTATCAAGATACTTTGTCATAAAACTCTGCCTTGTGACTTCAATGACAGATCTGACCCAAGAATAAAGGGATCAACTGCATCTCTTGCACAAAATGACATTTTCTTCCATCAGTCCAGTTCCCACCTAACCCAATATGGTCACTTATAGTGTGTCTTTCTCTGCTTTATTAATTCTAAAAGGATATATGAAGGAGGCTATGGGAGAGAATGCATCAGAATCAGAATACCAGTGCTGAATTCCAACATCATCATAATCCTGGTTTTCTGTGGACAGATGTATCAGCATAACTTCCATGGGAGCTGCAAGTAGCTCAGCAACTATAGCTTTATTTTCACTTAGGTGCATAAATATACCAGTAGATCTAAGTGTTTAATTTTGGAAAATAAATTTGAAAAAATATTGTTCTAAGGAACAACTTCTACTCTATGTTCATTCACTTGTTACTCTGGACTTCCATGGATTGGACTAAATTGCCAAGTGACTTCACATAAAAACTGAAGGTTTGTAGCCCCAGGTCTAGGTTTTCACAGTTTTGTGCGCCTCTAAACTATTCGTTTGCTCAGACTTGTCTCAGGATGTGTGTGTGCTGGGATGCATGTGTGTAAATCACGTGATTTCTAGGACACACACACACACACACACCACATGCAGCTTTGAAACTGCCAGCACATCTCTGAGACAGGTTTGGGCAAAAGAGTGTGTTTAGGGCACACACAATGATGAAATCCTGGGCCCAACTGAGTGGGCCACAGATTGCAAACCTCAGGATGCCTAGTAGGACCATAACTAAAACATACTGGTTAGGGAGAGATTGCAGAGGATGCTAGGAGTCTATTCCCTTCAAGACCCAGGAGGTCTCCTACTCTGAATGGTCTCTCTAACGTCCATCCTTGAAATCTAGTGTGGAGGAAAAGGTGGATCAGCAGAAAACAAGCCTTGACTGTGTCGCAATAAGATGGCACAGTCACTTCCAGAGATGAGGCTCAACATTTTTGTTGAGCCTCCTGTAATGGGCAAATTTAGTTATGCTCAGGCTCTTAGTATAACTTTAGGCCTTCCTGGAACTAAGCAATTAAATTGTACAGAGTGCCTTATAAGGCATCAGGAAAAATGAGTGCTGTGATTGGCACGGTGAGCTAACCAGGTACAGTAGTTTCCCTAGCAGAAAACCAAAAATGGAATAGGATTGGAGTACCTTATCTAAAAAGATGAGGTACGAAACTTGAGGACTGGACAGTTTGAGATGAAAAAGTTACAAAAGCAGTGGACAACCAAAGAGACAGTGCGTGTGTTTGTGTTGCCACCCTGGGGAGACAGAAGCAGCCTTGGAATGCTTGCTTTGAGTAACAAGGAACCCAGAAACTGACATCCCGCACACCCAGCACAGGATCTGAGGCCGGTACCACCGAAGGTCGCTGTTGTAACGTCTAGGGAACTGCTTGCCAGGTCGTATTGCAAGGATAATTATCTTGTAATAAGCCTAGGGGCTACTAATAAAGTTCACTTGATACCAAATCGGACGAAGAGTCATGTCAATCCTTGGGGGTCTCTGGTAAAAGGAATCGTGGGGCAACACCTCCCACACTCTTTTTACCAGGGTGGGAGTAATAGATTCTTATCCCTCAATTGTACACTGTATGTGGTACTGATTTCAATGACTGAAGATTTATTTAGCCCTACTGATGTTGGACTACAAGAGATCTCTGTACTCCAGAACTGGATATTTTCGTTTTGTGGAATCACCTTGTAATTTGGCATGGATATGGCCCCAAAGAGATTGCTGACCATAAGAATTGAATGTCTTGTGAATGAGACCATGCTTACCAAGAGTAAGAGAGCCCATCATGAAATACCATGTGGAGAGCCCATCTTGAAATCCAATTACTAAAGGTTAGTAAATGTTCTTTTTCATGTTTGATGTATTACATTTCTTCACCCAGCCTGAAAAAGGGTCCCTTCTTAGAAGCCAGAAACTTCCAACCAATGCATTTAATTTTGAATTAAAAAATATGTCTATATGGCCACTATACATAACGCCATACTGTGACAGGCCACACTAGCTTCACACATACTACTTTCCAAACTGGAAAAAAACATAGCTGTTAGGATGGCACTGCCAATGCATCACAAATGTAGCCATCTTACTTCACTTTAGGAACAGGCAAGCACTAAGTAGACATGGTCTATAACAGCACAACAGCAGCATGTGAGAACATTAACAGAGAATTCTTTCTTGGTGAAAAAATGATCTTGTAAAAGTAAAAAAAGGGCACTCTTACTAGAGGGACCAGATCAGTGAACTGGGCAGGAGCAAATGATGATGATAACAGAAAGTAAAGCAAGTTGCTTTGAATTTATTCTTCTCCTCCCCTCTTCCAACCAACACCTTCTATGCATGCAAGAATGACTGCCACTTCTCTAAAATACAGACAAGAACATACCTTTTTTGCTTACACTAACTAAAGTTTGTTTATATGGAAAACCTGTTCAAACAGTCCACTGGAAACTGCAATATGCCTGATCCAATTTACATTCAAAATGTAATACACAGCACCTACGTACTAGCTTTATAGTCTCTGCATAAGAGTAAATAAATTGTCAATATTACTGCTATATTTCTATTTGATGAAATGTATCATTTGAGGTTACAAAACTCACTAGACCAAATTCATCCATATTCCAACTTGGTCATCAAAAATGGTACAGAAAATGTGCAGTGGTGTGACATAAAACCCCGTGTTGATCCCAGATTGGACCCCCCACCCCCCATCTAATCAGAAAAGAAACCCAAATAGCATTTGTGGAGGAGCCTTTCAAAGAATGAAGAAGTGTCTCAGACACCAAACGAACATGACAATGGTATTTAGTGAAAGCAAAAATGAAGGCCTTTAACCAAACAAACTGGATTCTAACTAGATGTAATAGCCCATGGTGCAAAAGGAGGGAAAGGAGTATTAACTGATATCCAACCCAGATTGCCTAAAGAATAAAAATAAATTTATCATATTTGAATCCAGTCAGGTACCCCCAATAATGCAGTAAGTTTCTGCATGGTGAACTTGTTGATAGGAGGGAGGGAGAGGAAAGTGGGGAAGAGAAGGGGAAAGTCAGCTTTCACTTGCTTAAGGCACACAATGAGAACTTTAAAAAAGTTCCTACGCTTATCTGGGACTTTGGGACTATGATGATGACGAAGTTTAATTTGCCATAGAACACTGTTAGGAAGACAATTGTTTACACCAACTTCTTCCTTTTGTCTTTAAAAACTTTTTTTTCCTCCTCCTTATTCTCCACATCACCAACATACTGTTTTGGTTATACTTCGTTTCCGTGGGTATTCCTGACTCCACAGAAGTATTTTGGGTATATCTGAGCATAATGAAAGAAAGGGCCTTGTTGCACATTAAATCTAGGTGGTTCTGGGAGCTCTTAACCCCTGGATTGTCCACATATTAACACCTGAAACTAGTTTAAGCATACCTTAGGCAACTTTAAGTTATACCACTATGAGACAAGTTTCTCTCTGATGCATGTTACCCAGCTCATGTTCCATTAATGTGAGGTCACTCGTCACAGATAAGCTGCCCAAATTGCCACAGATAAGCTGCTCCAGCATCCCAGGATGCAGTGTCCCTTCCCCCAATTCCTGTTTTGTGTGGACAAATGTTCCACCCTCAAAACTATACTGTCCAGGGGATAGTTCTGGCACCAAGCCAGTCAAAGAAAGCTTTTGGCTTTAAGGTGCAACTGTTCCAAACTCAAGCTAGCGCTAACATTGATCAACATTTGAGCAGCTCAAATTACAATGTGTAACAAGGCCCAGACTGGAATTTCCACCTATATTTCAAGGGAGTTATCAAATCACATACACAAACATAGGAAGCCAGGGGACAATTCCTTCCAGGTATACTGTTAATAGAGTGATGATACAGCTGTTTTCTTGAGAGAGTCATTTAAAGTGTTATCAGATTACTTGTTTGAGTTAAAAGTTGTAATATTAATATTGTTATTTCTTTAATACAGAGGTTGTGAAGTGGGGGTACATGTAAAGGGGCTAAGGGGTAGGCGCAGGCAGGCGAGGACAGAGCACTGCCACTCAACGCCTTCCCAGCAGGA